GATTTCCAAAGCCTTTTTCAGCTCCAAAATTATGAGTCTGGAGAAAGATTTGTGTTTCAAATAATATTTTGAAATGGGGACAAGAGATGAAATGTGGAGCTGAAATCAGGGCAAACTCGTCTCTAATCCACTTAATAGCTTCTTTACAATTAATATTCACTGCAGGTCAGAATCCAATTATTCAGCAAAAAGCAGCATGAGATCACCTTCTAACATCTCTCCAGCTCCTTTGGGGTAGGTGAAAAGGGCTTTCCGTGGTGGGGCAAGGTCTGAGACACTGAAACCAGATCCAGTGACAGAACTTCCACTGACCCCACCAGCTGAGGAGGATGATGAAGAGGCAGCCATTTCCTCTCTAGCAGAATTCTCACTTCTAGCAGAATTCTCACTTCACTACAGAGAAAGAAAAACAGCAATTGGCAAGTTTATGGAAGTGAGAGTGACAACATTTCATTCTAGCTGCCATAAAAATCAGCATACAGTTTAGTAAATAGTTAGGTCCCCCCTTTTCTACCCTCTCTGTTCCCACAATCTTTTACTGATGCCTCAGACAAAAATGTTTCTCAGGATTATAAGTGAAATATGTTTATTCTGTTTTTCTACTTAAAACACTACTTCCTATCATTAGCAAACTGTTTGTATCACTTGGGATCAACTGTAGGTGATTTATGGGTTATGAAGGGGTGATATGGCAGTGCCAAGGTAACAGCGGACTGAGGAAATAAATTATGATAAAACAACATGCCTCACAGGACAGTTTGTCTTGGCTATATCCTGACAAAGCCATACCAAAAAATTCACTTATAAAATTTTCCAAATAAAATTCCAGAATAACACTGTGTTCTGTTCCCAAGGAAAGGGAATTGGTTAGGAAATACATATTTGTCCTTTCATGAAAAATGTTTTTTCCATCCAAATGTAATACCCAAATTGATCACTTGGTGGCATTCCCAAACTGGAAGAAAACGGCTCATGAAATGATCTTCAAATTCAAGGTTTATTAAGAATACAGCAGCTGAGTTTAACCCTATGTCATATCAAAAAATCAAAAAGCCCAAACGCAAATGAGAAGATCTGTACTGAATACATGATTCCTTACAGAAGTTCATAACATATATTACACACTTACATAAATATATTACACAAAATATATTACACACTTACATAAGATTGTAAGACTTTTGTTTTCTAAAAAGAATGGTCTAGCACTGTGCTAACAGAACTTTCTGCTACGATAGAAATGTTCTAACATTCTATTTCTGTGCTGTACAATATGGTAACCATTAACCTCATGTGGCTATTAGTGTGACTGAAGAACTGTGTTTTAATTAAAAAAAATTTTTTTTTTAAGTAATCGCTACACCGATATGGGGCTTGAACTCACAACTCCGAGATCAACAGTCGCATGCTCTACCAACTGAACCAGCCAGGTGCCCTTGAAGAACTGTATTTTAAATTTTATTTAATATTAACTGAAACTGAAATACCCACATATGGCTAGTGGTTACTGTACTGGATAATATAACTCTAGTATTAAGACTAAAGAAATGACTTTATACTGAATAGTATGCTTTGAGATGGCTACTAGTTAATTTTATGTTATGTGAATTTTAGCTCAATTAAAAAAAAAGGGGTGCCTAGGTGGCTCAGTCATCAGGTGTCTGCCTTTGGCTCCGGTTATAATCCCTGGGTCCTGGGATAGAGCCTTGCCTCCGGCTCCTTGCTTGGGCGGGAAGTCTGCTTCTCCCTCTCCCACTTCCCCTGCTTGTGTTCTCTCTCTTGCTGTCTCTCTCTCTCTGTGTCAATTAAATAAATAAATAAAAATCTTAAAAAAGAAAAAAGAAAAAGAAAAAATGACTTTAAAAGGATTTAAAAAATGAATTTCCCTCTTTATTGGCCACCAAGAATTTTAGCTGATTTTTTCTTCTTTTGCTAGTTGCAAAATAAAGACATTTGTTACAAAAGTTGGAACTTATGAAAAAATAGAAAAAATGAAGGAATGCTATGCAGATATAAATCCTATATATACATAATCCAGTTTCCTAGCAAGAAAAATCCTATACTGCACATTTCTGAAATGCCGGCTGTTCTGTATCCTCAGTTTTGTGATGAGGATTTAAGGCTGTCAGGGAAGCAGAGTTTGATTTCCAATTTCATTATATGTCCATAAGTAATATGATTAAAACTGAAGTGAGATATGGGAACAGCAAAGCAACTGTTTTAAGTAGAATGTCAGCCTATTTAAAAATACAAACTGATTAAGGACATCGTTGATCTTGCTATTAGATCACCTTTTCTTTTTTCTCTGAGTTCTTTAGCATTCAACTAATATGCATAGAGACAACTTTTCAAGCTGGATTTATATCCAATCCTTTGGGCAACACTAGCTTAAAATATACCTTGACAGGTTCTTAAATGCTTTTTTAAACAGAACTTAAGCAGTAATGGACCTGGTCTAAATTTCTAAGTGTAAAATTAAAAAAAAAACAACAACAACAAATAAATTTCTAAGTGGATTCTTGCTGGGATTCAAAGTATACAGGTGATTTAGCCAGGCACTGAGGTACTCAGTCTTATTTCCCATCAGTTCAGAGCAGAACCTACTATGAATTGTTTATGTATCTCACCTAAGACTTAAAACTCTAATCTTTTTCCTACACCTTGATAAATGCTCTATTCAGTTGCAAATGCAAGGGATACATTATATTTTGAAATCAGTTGCTCAGCAGAGCTCCCTAGGGACTGCCAGAGTGAGGACAGCTTCAAAGGCTGGACACAGTGTGACTTCTAAACTGGGTATAAATCAAAGGAATTTCCTTTCATCCCATTTTCTTTCAAACTTAGAACTACTATCATTCAATACACAAAACAGCCAGGGCTGAAAACTGGAGTGGGTAATTAGCACAAAGCTACAGTTACATAAATAAGCAGTTTACAGCTGAGGTAGAATAATACACTTCAGTAATTTCTAGCGTTAAAGATTTAAGTTGAATTTTGCATGCTATCAGTAGATGGGAAAAGGAGGTAAAGTGAAACTAACAATAAACCCTGCTTTGGAACTGCTTTATGAAGGCAGGCATTCTGATCATGAGAACCAAACGTAATGCTTGGCCTATTCTAAGTAGTTGCTGATTTAAATAAATGTTTGCTAAATGAATTAAACATTTCACAGGAACCACAAAATTCCTTAAAGGTCATCAAATCAAATTCTCTCATTTTATAGATGACCAAACAGAACCGAGCTATAGAAACATTAGCATACATGCTGTGATATTCTTCAAGCAATGGCTTTGTGGGCGTGTATCATGTGCCATGTGAGAAAGGTAAAACAGCATAGAGGTTAGAGTTCAGACTCTGAAGCTTCTTGGTCTGGGATCATGTTGTGGTTTGGCTATTTAGCTTGCTGTATGACTCTGGACAAATCATTTAACCTTCCCGTTCCTCAGTTGCCTCATCTCCAAAATGGGGATAATAGTATTTCCCTCATAATGGTGTCACAAAGGTTAATATAACTAAAGCATTGAAATAGTTACAGGCATAGTAAACAATGATATCAGCTATCCAAAATTAGTAATGGTTTTTTACTCCTGAATCTTTTTTTTTTTTTTAAGATTTTATTCATTTATTTGAGAGAGAGACAGTGAGAGAGAGCATGAGTGAGGAGAAGGTCAGAGAGAGAAGCAGACTCCCTGCGGAGCCGGGAGCCCGATGCGGGACTCTATCCTGGAACTCCAGGATCATGGCCTGAGCTGAAGGCAGTCGTCCAACCAACTGAGCCACCCAGGCGTCCCAACTCCTGAATCTTTTTTTTTCCCCTCTGCAGATTCCAGTTTTTCATCCACAGTATGTCCCAACACACTGATGGGAAAAATTTCAATTCTCTCCATTTGACAGAATCGGCATGCTCCTAGAAGGTAAAGATCTGTTCAGGAAGAGGGGAAATGCCCTCCATTAATGCACTTCACACTTTCATTTTAAGGTTCCTGCGTTTAGGAAGGATTCTTTGATCTAGGAAAGGGGGAACAGGTTGTCTTTCTACCCTGGAGGCCTAGCACAGAACCTGGATGAGAACGTTTCATGAGCGAATACCCAAATGAAAGAACTAGCGGCTCAGCAAAGGTTATATGCATGGGACAGAGAAGCGGGGTGTCCTGAGGGCTGGTCCACTATTGGCTTTTTTTCCTTCCACATTCTGCAGAGCTACAGTATTAACACAAGTCTCTCACACACCAGGTTGCCGGGCTCAGTAAAATTCTGCTTTATGAGTACATAGTCATGATGAAGTAGTCTGGGGTTGGGGCCTCTAAGGTAAAGGAGTCTACGGGCAGCTGGGATCCCCATAGAAGAGCAATGCTACTTTGGGGGTCCACAGCATGGCTGTTTCCACAGTGACAGGTTGATCAAACATTTACTTCGCCTACGACAAGGATGACCTCGTACTCATTGCTTTTTATCGGATATATGCCTATTTTCTTTCTTTCTTTTTTTTAAAAAAGATTTTATTTACTTATTTGACTGAGAGAGAGAGATCACAAGTGCGCAGAGAGGCAGGCAGAGAGAGAGGGGGAAGCAGAAGCAGGCTCCCCGCCGAGCAGAGAGCCAGATGCGGCCCATCCCAGGACCCCGAGATCATGACCCAGGACGAAGGCGGAGGCTTAACCCACTAAGCCACCCAGACGCCCTATGCCTATCTCTAGCTACTTGTGATCTCTTTCTGTCAAATAAACAAAATCTTAAAAAAAAAAAAAAAAAAAGAAGAAGAAGTCTTCATATGAAAAAGACGCTGAAGGAAGTACTCTGGTGCAATGGCAAATTATTACAAGCAATCGTTAAATCCCATCATCAACAAATCGTTGCACTTGAGCGGCTGGACTACCACCCAAACGAAAGCGGCAGCTAAAACCAGGTGGGGGGGTCAGAAAGGGGCTGGAAAGGGGAGAGGCAAAATACCAGCGGTTTCCAAACTAACTCCAAAGCACGCTTCCTCCCCCGTCCCCACCGTTGGTCTCCAGGGGGCGACGCCACTGGTACTGCCTCACTGCGCAGGCGCCAGCCCTCCGCCCGCATGCGCACCCGGTCCGGCGCGGCCTGAGGAGATTTCATTACACTCCCTCTGCAGCAGGCTCCAGTTTCTCCTCCTATCTTCTCCATTTTACTAGTCCCTGCAGGTAGGATCCCAGGGATCTACTCCCTTCCACTAAGCTCCCGGGGGTCCCTGAGTCCTCGGCCACTTACCTCAGCAGATTTGGCACTTTCCCCTACAGCCCCGCCCCCAGGGCCAGCCAGAGCGGCCGCCTTTACAACGACGAGGACGGCGGCGTGCGCGCGCCCGGGCGGAGGGGACCCGTGCCGGCGGCTGCGTGAGGGCGCCCGCGCGCTGGTGGGCGTGGCCAGGGCGAGGAGGGTCGGAGGACGCGCTCTGAGAGAGTACTTCCGGGTTGTGCACCCACCTGGTCTTACCGCAGTTTGCTTGCAGCCCCGGAGTTCCTCTTTCGTAGCTCGACTTGGTGTCCTCGGTTTTTTGCTTGCTTTTATGATTCAGGGCTTCACCTTACCCCCTCGACATTGCAGGCCTTCCGCTTTCCTCCCTCTCTCTCCCCAGACTACCACGAAGCAGGGTTAAAACTGGTTATTCCCTCTTCCTTCATACAGTCTCGTAGCCCAGTGCCGTGTGGGAAACGCAGGTGAAGTTTCCTCTTATTCCAGAGCTCATGGTCTGAGGGCCCGTCGTAAACATTGAAGTCTCCCTTTGTGAAAGCCCTTTTTTATTTTGTGAGGTCCTGGGGGAATAGGCCACGACGGGGTAGTGTCATTACACTTTTGCTAATTATGCCCGACATCGTTCAAGTCTGTTTACGTTCTATGTTGTTATTTCTCACAACGCACGATCTCCTCTTGGTTCTGTAAGCAAATTGCCAATTAAAGGGACTCAAACTTGCTAAGGGTTGGATTGGGCCTTAGTGTATTTAGTAAGGATTGGTCAGGTTTTGGGGGGAGCTCTTAATTTTGGACTTCCAAGGCTATGTAACCTATGTAGAACGAACATTGGTTGAACTTAACCATAGCTAGTCCATAAGGAACTCCTGTTTCCTTAATTCTTGATTCATTAAGTGGTGATTAGAAGCTTCTCAGTGAATGCTGCACATTTTTGAGTAGTGGCCTATAGAAATGGATTCCTCCTCTCAGCAATGTGTTTTGAAGAACCACGTTGGTTAAGTCACATTTCAACTGGATCTAATTTTGAGGTATATATTTCTAGCACCTCTGAAGGTACTTAGGGGTTATCCTCCAGCCCCAGGATGAGTGTGCTAAACATTCCTAATGCTCTAAATTATTGCTGGATAAAAGGAGTGAGCCCTTTAGCAAATGGTTAGATAAACACAGAAGGTTGTATCTTCTTTGAGGTTAAAATAATAAAGAGACATCTATTCTCTCCAGTCATGGACAGACTGTATAGAGAGGGCTGACTGTCTTTTAATCACCTTTTCTTAGAGTGCTGAAACAGTTTACAAATTACTGTCCAGGGGTGCCCAGCTGGCTCAGTTGGTGGAGGCGGCAACTCTTGATCTGGAGATTGTGAGTTTGAGTCTGGTGTTGGTTGTAGAGATTACTTAAAAAGAAAACCTTTGAAAACAAAAATTACTGTTTAGAGTGAGCCGGGAATGGAATAATGCTGTTGTGGAAAATAAAGCAATTGATTTGAAACACCTTGCAGATAGGGGAAATCCAGTGGAAACAGTGCTGCTTTTAGGATGTGCTGTGAACTGATGTCCCAAATACATAATGATCCATAAAATAGAGATAGAGTTTTTATTTTTGATTGAAAAAGGTAAGGGGGTCATTTATTTTTCAGGATTTCGTTAGGGTATTGTTTGGTGAAAGTATCATGGAAGTTCTGCGCCCACAGCTTGTAAGAATTGGCGGACGGATTTATAGAAAAAATCCCATTCAAGAACAGACCTATCAACATGAAGAAGAAGATGAAGACTTCTATCAAGGTAATCCTAGTTGCTCTTTACGCAGATTAGTACCATGTTCTCTCCCTTTGTGGAAGCAGTGCTTTGTTTTGTTTCAAAGTGTTTCTATGTGAGCACTGAAATTTGAGATGTTTGACCTCTGCCTAGTTCCATTGTGTTGATGACTAAGGGGACTGGTGATTTTCAATTTGATGAGGCATTCTCATTTGCACTTCCTAAATCATGTTTCATCTTTGTGCAGGGGCTTAAATGTAATAAGGGGTAATTTTAGTAAACTATTAGTGTTAACCATGAATATTCTGTGACAAAATTAAGTTCTTTCATCTGTAAAGTTGTGAAATATATATGTAAATTACTGAAGTAAGTGAAATATGTATTTTGTCCAGTACCTCAAAATGTTAACTGTTAATACTGTTATGCTGTTATTTGTCTCTTCTTTGAACTCATACAGGCAGTTCCAAATATACAACTAACATAGCTTTATTATTACAGAAGAATAATTTTAAAAAGTGAGCTTGACAGTGGAGATGGATGATGATTATTTTCAAGCCAATTAACTTGGGCTTGGGTTTAATGCGTAAATAGGGCCTTTCAGGTTCTCTGCTTCCTTTTCCTTTTGGTTTATACGTTTTACCTTCAGGCCCTAAGCTTTGGGGGTTAGTCTTCCTTCTGGTTTTCCCATGGTTTCCCTTTGGCCTTAGGAACTTGATCTTCTTTACTTGACCCTCTTGTCTCTTTGCCTGGTGAGATGGAGTAAGTTCTTCTGCTACCATTCCTGTCTCATTCACTGAAGTAATTTTGTGTCTTAATACTAAAAACTGCTTACTTGCACACTGTAAGAGGATACATTTGTTATATGTGAATTATATCTCTATAAAAAAATAGAAAAAGATCTTTATTGTGTCTTAGCTTTTGGGAGAAAACAGTTAAATAGTGGTATGTATGTACTATTTTTCCAAAGTGCTAAGACTGGAAGATTTAAAATAGTCATTTGTTTTTTTTTCTTTTTCTTCTGAGAGCAAGTGAGAGGACTGTCAGAGCAGTGTTGTGCAATATAAAGTGCTGGGCTGTTCTTTGTGTGTGTGTATTTTTTTAAATCTTGAGCGTGGTTGGCCAGTGGGGAGAAGACTGTTGTCCACAGAGCAGCCACTGTGAGCGAGATGTTCTGGTTTCTCTGCAGGCTTCGTGGAGTGTGCAGAGGAGCCCTGTGATGCTTATGAGGTGGTGCAGACCCAGCAAGGTTTCCGGTGTACCGTGAAGGCCCCCAGCTTGCTCTACAAGTGAGTGAGTGTCTCTGCCACCCCCGCCCCCACCAGCTTCATGGGACACACTTCCAGGAAACTCAACAGGAACTGACTCTTTTCCAGTGCTTAATTACTAATGACCAAACAATTTAGTGTTTTATGTCCTCGAATTTCTAAGGACTGATTATGGATCAATGTCATCATTCCAAATGTATCACTAGGTCCTGTTGATTTTGCCTCTTAAATAGTTTTTGAATCTACCACTCATTCATTCTTTACTGAAAGACCAGAACCCTGCTTCATCTTTGTAGATTACTTCAAATAGCCACCTTACTAGGCTGTCCACATTGATTATTATTCTCCTTCCAAACAGTTCTTCACATTGAGGGTGCAGTGATCTTTCTAGAAGGCAAATGTGATCACTTCCTATGCTTAAATCTGTCAACATCCCTCCACTGAAGATGGAATTGTTCCATTGGAGTGATGGAATCTTGAATGTGACTTAGCCAGCCCTGCATTTTTCAGTCACAACTCATATCACTCTTTTTCTGGTTTTGCCCTTAAGCCTGGCTAGTTTTCAGTTTGTGAAATGTGCTTTGTTCCTTCCTGCCATAGAGCTTTGTCATATGCTGTTCTGTTTGCCTTATAATCTCTCTTCCTTACATGGTTTTATTATTCTTCCTTAGTGAACCTTGCTCACCACCATCATCCCTACCAACCACACTGACTACTATATGTTTTCATAACACCCTCTACCTTTCCTTTGTACAGTTTTTCAGCCATGTGCTTTACACTTATGTGCTTACTATTGGATGTCTTCTCCACAAGATGGGAGACTTCTAGAGGGCTGTAATGTGTCTGTTCCATTAGCCTCCAATGTTTGTCGAAGACTGGTATGCTTTCTCCAAGGTTGTCGTTATGAATTTGCTTGGAAACTTTTTGATCACTTTAGTCGTGGGTTGCTTGCTTGTGTGATTGCCCACATTCTGTCTCATGGTTTAGCTTATCGTCTGCCTTCAGCTCAGGTCTTGACCTCCAGGCCCTGGGGTCAAGCCCCAAGTCTTTCTCTCCTTCTCCCTGTGATCATGCTGTCTCTCTGTATCTCTCTGTCTCAAATGAATACATAAAATCTTTTTTTGAAAAATATTTTATTCTTTTAAACAATATTTTATTTATTTATTTATTTATTTATTTGTCAGAGATCACAAGTAGGCAGAGAGGCAGTTGGGTGGGGGTGGGGGGAAGCAGGCTCTCTGCTGGGCAGAGAGCCTGACTCGGGGCTCAATTCCAGGACTCTGAGATCATGACCTGAGCCGAAGACAGAGGCTTAACCCACTGAGCCACCCCAATAAATAAATAAATAAATAAATAATTTTTAATTTTAATTTTTTTATTTATGCCCCAATAAATAAAATCTTTAAAAAAACAAATAAACATAGCTTATGTGCCTAACTGGCTTCTTTTGGGTTTACATCTCTGGAGACAGACTGGTCTAGGAAGCGTGTAAATTGTTTTTCTGTGTTGTATCAGGTGACTCAGGTCTGTTCAAGCTCCTCTGTTAAAGGAGATCTACAAATATGGAGTCATATACCTTTAAGCTCCATGAAGCAAATAATTTTATTTTCACCAATCTTGAAAATATTCTGCAACACCTATTGAGGATGAAATTCTTCTGTGGGAATGTGGCCAAATGGGAAACCAGATGCTAACTCTGACAGCTCATTTTCCTTTAAGGTTCCAGTGACATTTTCTTCTAAGAAACAAGATTTTAGAAAGTCACCGTTTAGTTTCTTGATGAAATCGGTGTAACCGTTTTCCTCACTGCGTATATTTGCCACCACTGACGTGTGTAAAAATTCCTTAGATGTCTGATTCCAACTTGACGATCTTCTGAATTCTGTATATTCTAAGTATCATTGTATTCTGGATGACTTGCTTGTTAGATTAGTATTGATTCTGCTTAATTATAATTAATACACTGAATTTACTAGGACAGTTTCTTTCTTATTAATCATTTCTGTAAGTTCATTTGGATCTAGGAAGAAATTACTTGACCAAACTAATTTATAATCAAATCCTAATTGTTGTAACTCTTATCCATGGACTAGATGTAACTCATTAGTTCTCGACGTTAGGTGCACATTAGAAGTACCTGGGTAAGTTTCAAAATTCCCTATACTTAGGTGCACCCTAGGCCAATTAAATCAGAATCTCTGGGAGCTGGACTCAGGCATCATCATCATCATCATTATTTTTTAAAAGATTTTATTTATTTATTTGACAGAGAGAGAGATCACAAGTAGGCAGAGAGGCAGGCAGAAGGAAGCAGGCTCCCTGCCGAGCAGAGAGCAAGATGCGGGGCTTGATCCCAGGACCCCGAGATCATGACCTGAGTCGAAGGCAGATGCTTAACACACTGAGCCACCCAGGAGCCCAGGCATCATTATTTTTTGAATCACCCCAAGGTGATTCCAGTGTAGCTAAGATTGAGAACTACTTGATCAGGTAGGAATTTCTACTTAAATCTTTAATAAAAGAGTCACCTTTTCATGTGTATCTCCTATTACTGTAGTGAATATTTTAGTCTCTGGCTATACTCTTAATTGGAAGGATGCCATTATGGGCTTAATGAGGATAATATGGACTGTACTGAGCTACATGCCAATCACCGGGAAGCCCTTTTATACAAGATCACGTATAATCCTTACAACAACATTATTATACTTTGGTGTTATTCACTCCATTTTTGTAAGTGAAGAAATGGACTTAGAGTGGTTAGATGACTTGCCCAAAACTTGAGTCTAAACTTCTGTAACCTCAACCACTTCTTTTCTTAGATGCCTAGACTATTAATAACACCTTAAGCCAGCTACTTGTGTGTATGTGTGTGTTTTTAAAGATCTTATTTTTAGGAGCACCTGGGTAGCTCAGTGGGTTAAAACCTCTGCCTCAGGCTCAGGTCATGATCCCAGCGTTCTGGGATCGAGCCCCACATCAGGCTCTCTGCTCAGCACAGAGCCTGCTCACCAGCCCCCCACAAACGGCCCGCCTCTCTGCCTACTTGTGATCTCTGTCTATCAAATAAATAAATAAAATCTTTAAAAAAAAATAAAGATCTTATTTTTAAGCAACTCCACACACCAGCTTGGGGCTTGAGTTCACAACCCCCAGATCAAGAGTCGCAGGCTCTGGACTGAGGCAGCTGGGTGCCCCAGGCCCGCTGCTTTTTGTAAGGGGCTTCTCTACTAGCCACATGCTAACCAACAGTAGCCTGGGTGAAAGTACTCCTTATTGATAAGGCCTGGAAAGACAAGAGCCTGACGAAGTGGGTGCCATAGAATCTGTAGTCCAAGCCCAACACAGAGAAAAACTGGAGGGAAATTGTTGTGTTTCAGTCCTCTTCTAAACATCCTATTTTTGTTTTTGTGTTTTCAAACTGGCTTACTACAGTAGATCTTAATGGAAAGAATTGGACTGGTTATTCCAGGTAAAACAAATGCACAGTTTTAGACCTAGTCACCCATGTAGTTGGGCACTGTAATTGAAATCATAGAAGCTGAAATACTGTTGATAGTGGGGGAGTTTTATTCTCTTTATAGTCCTGTCTTTGAGTCTTTAGTGCTTTATGGACTCAAACTTTTCTCCTGGGATCCAGTAGTCTCATTTACTGTAGCACGTCTTATCACTGTGGGTTCCAGAAGATAACCCTGGATTGTCAGAATTATTTATTCTAGGAGGGCCAGGCAATTAATGTAAATGAGTCACAGATGGTTGATGCGGAGTAGATGAAAGGCAATAGGGAGTGATGGGGATTGCGATGAATTCATGTTCGATTTTTAGGGACAAGAGCTTACTCTAGCCAATTATTGCCATGAGTTGTCAGATCTTCTGATTTTTCGAAAGAACCTGGAAATCTCCATTTTTGGGTGAAATTTTCCAATGTTTTGGTGAAATCTCCTGAACAAAATGTGTACATGCTGAATGCAGCTTGAGGGTTACGTGTTTACTCTTGTTGCTTTCAAAGCTGTTTTGAATAGTCTGTCCTAAATGGTGGACCTTTCTCTTTGCTAAGCTCTTTACCCTTAGTTTATTAATCAGGGATAATTCTTTTAGGATGAACTCCTACTATAGTTAATTTGCTCCCCAAAGGACAGTGTTTTCCCCAAACTGTAGACCCACTGGTTGCTGGAAGTGCCCTTTGAGACGATGCCAGCTTTCTTTTCAATGAACAGCAGACCCAGATTTTGAATCTAATATTGAAGACCAAGCAGGTGTTGGGCATGGCCTGGTTATTTCTGTTTATTCATTAAATTGACTGTAGGGCGTCATTTTGCCAATGAGTACAATGCAACACATTCTATAAAGCTATATGACTTGTAATTTCCTCTACAAATATTGAGCCTTTACTAAAGCACTTTTCTTTAAGGGAGTGGCCACATATGATTTAAACATGAAATTTAAATAATTTCATTTAACCATTTTAATCATTTCATTTTAACCATGAAATGATTTAAACATGGAATTCTTTATTCTGGTACATTTGACTTAATATTCTTCTGTTAATTTTTCTCTATATTATAGGCATATAGTCGGAAAAAGAGGGGACACTAGGAAGAAACTAGAAGTGGAAACCAAAACTTCTATTAGCATTCCTAAGCCTGGACAAGAAGGAGAAATTGGTGAGACTCGGTATATATGTTATATTTAGTTATATTTGCAATCACTTTTGCATGAGTATGGAATAGTGTGACCCAATGGAGGTATTTAGTGGTTGTATTCTTTCTTTCTTTCTTCAAGCATTCCTGGGTAGGATTGAATAGTGACTATATTCTTTTTGGGGTTCTGTAGCAATTGGCCTTTTTATACCAGCATCAATCTCCTAAATGAAAAAAGATGTAGTTATACAATCTTATCTTGAAATTGAGTATCTGGGCCTTCACTGTGTACTTTACTGTGTACTGATGTTATAAAGCTTCCAGATTTTGTTGTGTATTAGGAGAATAATTTTATGCTTTACTAGCTTGAAATGGAGTTTGTGAATTGTTTCAAGTTAGAATTAGAGAAAACCAGCAAGGTCAACAAATTTGCGATAAAATTCAGCCCTTTTGAGAAGGGTTCTCTTGTTTTTACCTGCTTTGTAGACTGGGAAGGATATTATAAAAGTAATGATTAAAATAACAACCCGATGAGTGCTGTGAAATGTGTTAGCCTGGTGATTCACAGACCTGTCCTCCTGGGGCAAATAATACGTTATATGTTAAAATAAATAAAAAAATAAATAAATAAAATACTAAAAACAAACAAATCAACCTGAATCAAGTAACTGCTCAAGTGAGGAAAAATAGTTCAATATAAATCAAGTCAGAAAGTGTGTGTACCAAGCACCACTGTGGACCAAGGGCACAGGCTTGTGTTGTAAAAGGGCTGTGAGTGAAGGGCACTATAGGGACAAAATTTGAGGAAACTCATTCTAAAATGATAGAACTTTTTCAAAGTCAAGTAAGTACAGCAGCCTCCAATAATACATTTATTATAAATACCCATAGGTTTTATTAAGTTTTAGGGTAAAAAAAATTACAAGTGTTCTCATTTTGGGCTGTGTAAGAATCATAACAGATACAACACAGTTGAGTGTAGACCAGTGCTGTCCAAAAGGACTTTCTATGATGACGGGAATGTTCTCTCCCTCCACTGTCCAGTACGGACGTCACTAGCACGTGTGATTGTGAGTACTGGAAATATGGCTAGTGTGACTGGGGAATTGAACTTTTAATTCCATTTCTTTTTAATTCATGTAACTTTTCATTTAACTGGTTGCATGTGGACTCTTGTGTTGGACAGCAAATGCTAGAGTTTTCCCCAGCCCTTTAGTAATATTAGCAGACACTAATGTAAGAACTTCAATGACATTTTTGAAGGACTTTCATTAAAATATTTAGCTCTTTAGAATTACAGATAGAAAAACCCAGGTCTTTCCTTAAATTTTAAAGTTCAAGCTACCATGGTGCCTGGGTGGCTCAGATGGTTAAATGTCTGCCTTTGGCTCAGGTCATAATCTCAGGGTACTGGGATTGTGCTCCATATTAGGCTCCCTGATCAGCAGGGAGTCTGCTTCTCCCTCTTCTTCTCCCTCTGCCTCTCCCTGCTGCTTGTGTGTTTTTCTCTCAAAGGAATAAATAAAATCTTAAAAAAAAAAAAAGTTCAAGCTACAAGTATTGAAGTAATTTTATAATTGCAGTAAAGCTTATTTCATCATCTAGTTTTTTTTTCTGATTGTAAATTAATACATGCTTTCAAAAAAACCTCAAAGTTTTTATAGAAATTATATGTAAGATATAAAGGGGAGTCTTGTAATACGAACCTCAGACATAATCACTATTAATAGTTAAATAGAGTCTTCCTTTTTTGTATCCGTAGAGTAACTATAATAATTTTTATTGCAGTAAAAATTATAACATGCTATAAATATGGAGATTTTAGCCATTTTAAGATGCCAGAGTCATTCTAAAACCTTTCCAAAAAAGGGTAGGCAGGTTGTAAAGATTCCATTTTGACTTAGAAAGTACAAATATTTCAATGTGAAACCCAGTGTGTCTAATCATTAAAAGTAAGAATTTAGTGGAACTAATTTAATTGAAAAACAAGAGGATAAATGGGCCTATTGGTCTTTTAGGGAGGTAAAATATAGAAAAATCAAATTTGTTGTTTAGAGTAAATTGAGTTGTAATATGAGACTAAGGCAGGTTGTGGCATTTGTTGCCATTTATTCATTTTCTTTTGCCTCTCCCAAATTAAAGCTAATAAGGAAAGAAATGATGTAGTAGGTTTTAATTTGTCCTCTCAACAAGGATCTGGTTATCTAGTCTGTTTTGAAGTCTAACAAAATGATATTGTTATTGTAGTTAGAGAATTGGTTTTTAGAAGTTTAATGTTAATGCCTTTAATTCTCTTTTTCCTATCTATCTCTTGTTATAGTCCCTAAACCCTTGCCTCGCAAATTCTGGTCTTCTCAGGCGTTAGTGTTTGTAGAATATTTCTTTTCTTTTTTTTTTTTTTTAAGATTTTATTTATTTATTTGACAGACAGAGATCACAAGTAGGCAGAGGAACAGGCAGAGAGAGAGAGAGGGGATAGCAGCTCCCCGCTGAGCAGAGAGCCCGATGTGGGGCTTGATCCCAGGACCCTGGGATCACAACCCAAGCCGAAGGCAGAGGCTTTAACCCACTGAGCCACCCAGGCACCCCTTGTAGAATATTTCTAACCTCATTTTATTTGCTCATTAGTCATTAACTGATCAACTTTGAATCTTTTCTGGAAATCAGACTGAGCACCTTTCAGTGAATGCCCTTTTCAGTTTACTGTGTTACAAAGATGAAACCAACCTCTTTTTTTTTTTTTTTTTAAAGATTTTATTTATTTGTCAGAGAGAGAGAGGGAGAGAGAGCGAGCACAGGCAGACAGAATGGGGCAGAGGCAGAGGGAGAAGCAGGCTCCCTGACGAGCAAGGAGCCCGATGTGGGACTCTATCCCAGGACGCTGGGATCATGACCCGAGCCGAAGGCAGCTGCTCAACCAACTGAGCCACCCAGGCGTCCCTGAAACCAACCTCTTAATGAAAAAGAATAGATTTAGCATTTTGTACCAGACTTTTACAGAAATAAAACATAAACATAAGTTTTAAGCTTCCTTCCCTTCTGCTCCTTTTCCTTTTAGTTTCTGAGCAAATTTTTGGTCTTTGGCAGAGATAATTTTTTTTTTAAAGATTTTATTTATTTATTTGACAGAGATCACAAGTAGGCAGAGAAGCAGGCAGAGAGAGAGGAGGAAGCAGGCTCCCCGCTGAGCAGAGAGCCTGA